GGAAGATGATGAGGATGATGAAGACGATGATGGTGATGAAGGTGGTGATGGTGATGATGTTGGAAGTGATGGTGATGATGATAAGGAGGCGAGGGTATTATTAATGATGATGATGATGATGATGATGATGGTAATAATAACAAAACTGATGATGATGTGGGTGATCTTGATAATGATGATGACACACACACACATACACGCACACACACACACATTGACGCACATACTCGCACAGACACGCACAGACACAAAGACAGAGCCAAACCTCAGTAGGAAGTATGTAGCCATTGCACCAGACCTCTCCGTCATCCTTACCAAACATGACCGTCGTCTGCACGCCATTCAGTATCCAAAACCAGACACTCGTCTGCTCCGAACTTGCTGGCGGGAAACCATCGTCACGTGATGGTTCTTTTATTGGCGGACTGTTTTGTCATAGGATGGTTGGTGGGTAGAAATGTGATTGGTTAATTTGCTGGCAAGTTTTTTTGTAATGTGGTAGAATGGTTGCCTGGCTCGTTGGCATTCGAATTTTTGTGATTCGTTAATATGACGGTAGCCTTTTTGTGATTGGATGATTTAATGAAGGGGTTGAGTTTTATTGGTTGGTTTGTCGTTGAGCATTTTATAATTGGTTCTTTGAGTGAGTGAGTGAGTGAGTGAGTGAATGAATGAGTGAATGAGTGAGTGAATAAGTGGGTGAGTGAATAAGTAAATGGTTGTTAATTACCGAGATGAGTGTTGCTGTTGCTTGCGTTCCAATGATAATATTTTAAACTTTAAAATTTGAAAACAATCTTGATCGATTTTTAACTGTTTGTTTATAGCGAGGTCTGAATTGTCCTTTTGTTTGTCCGTTAAATATCAATATCTCTTTGTTCGTCTGTTCGTATGTTCGTACGTTTGTTTGTTTGTTTGTTTGTTTGTATGTGTACGTATGCTTGTTCCTTTCATGAACCAATCAATTAATGAACAAATAAACCAACAACTAAATAAATAATGAACGATTGATTGATAAAATGAACGAACAAATAAATTAAAAAAAAGTTATTTATCATCATCGTCATCGTCGTCATCATCATAAACAACATCATCATCATAATTTTTATCATTGTTTATGCAACAAAATTTCTTTAGACAATAGCTCACTTAACGTAGCATTATAACAATTGGCAGATAAACAATGGAAAATACAAAAAATTATAATTATTATTATTGTTATTTTTGTTATTATTATTATTTTCAATAGTTGTAGTAGCAGTAGCAGCATCAGCAGTAAAAGTAGTAGCAGCAGTAGTAGAAACAGAGTTTTATTCTTATTGTTTATATTATGTTTAATGTTATGGTTATTATTATAATTATTTTTTTAATATTATTATTTTTGTTGTTATTATTATTATTACTACTATTATTTATACGGACAATGAGGGAATAATTTTTGCGTCATCGTCGTCAGTATAATTGCAAATAACATTTAGACACGTAAAAGCGAAATTCGTATTGGAAAGTAAAGTTATTATTATTATTATTTTTATTATTATTATAAATATTGATATTATTATTATTGTGTGGTTTTAATTGTTATTTTGTTAAAATATATATATATATATATATATATATATATATATGTATATATGTATATTTGTATACATATATATATACATACACATAAAGCTAGTACATTTTGTCTAGGTAACAAAACATTCATATTTATCATCATCAACAACAACAACTACAACATCTACAACAACATCAACAACAACACCAACAACAACCACAACAAAAACATCAACAACAACATCAACTACAACAACAACAACAACAATATAAACATCAACATCAACAACAACATCAACAACATCAACAACAACAAATACTAAGGTCACATTGATTGCAATTGCAACCATGCCAACCATCCAAATGTTTACAGATATTTGAGAACGTGTGAATACATACATACCTACAAACAAACATACATACATGCATACAAACATACATACAAACATACATACACACATACAAACTAACAAGCATACATAAAAACATACATACATACAAACATCTACATCTACATACACACACTCATACACATATAAAAACACTAAAATCGTGCCTGAAAAACCCTTTTCGCTCGTAAAGACAAAGATATCTATATATATATATATATATATATATATATATATATATATATATATATATGTGTGTGTGTGTGTGTGTGTGTGTGTGTGTGTGTGTGTGTGTGTGTACTTGTGTGTACCTCTGTGTGTGGTTGCGTGTGTGTGTTTGTATGTGTGTGTTTATAAATAGAAATTGACATAATAAAAGCCAACGATAAATTAACATACATCGATATAGGCGTAAAAATGCGGGAACGCCATCATCATCAACCTCGTCGCCATCGTAATTATAATAATAAATATTATTTTTATTATAATAATTATAATTATTTTAATTATTATCGTTGTCATCATCAGCACTGTTGTTCAAGTGGATTTAAATA